GAGAGCAGGGCAGCTGTGCTGGCAGAGCACATCTGGGCATCTCCAAAGCAGTGGACACAGCACCAAATGCCCTTTGTATTTTGCAAATAGTATAATTTACAGGGACTGCTTTACATATGCAACGAGAAACTGCCTCAGCAACAAATCTCAGAATGAGACATCGGTGCTAAAGCTTTTATAAGCAGCGGGGTGGAATTGTTCTTCATCCAACACCCTGTATTTTCAAACAGTGATCAAGTTAAGGATACACAGACACACACGCATTTATTTGCTGGTGAAGACTGCAGATGGTGCAGGATTAGTGGGATGCTAAATAATTGAGATATGAACCTCCTGATTTACATGGTGACAGTCCAAAAAAAAAGGTGTTTCAGACTCATTGGAGTGGTGGGATTTGTATCTAGAACGGAGAGAGGAGGAAGAGGAAGAGAAGATAAGGCTTTAAAAAGGGGGGATCCCTGCCTTGGGGAGGACTGACTGAAGAGGACAGAGGTATCTGGGGTGAAATATAGATAGAAAATCAGTGTTGAGGTTCAAGGTGTTACACCTGCTGCTGGGAGCAATGGAACCCAGGGGAGATGGAGGTTGAGACCCTTGGTGATGCAGGGAGGTTGGCTTTTGTTGGAGGAGCAGGCTAGGAAACAGTTCCTTCTCTAACAACACACCAAATGTCTTGGACACAGAACAAGGGTGGTAAGACTTTTTTTTCCCACTGAACATGGGAGAGCTTTAAAAATAGCCCTTAGAAATTAAAAAATGAAAAATGAACCCTAACTCATTTGACTCAGCTCATGTTCTGTAAAACAATAGTGTGTTCTGACAAGCAATTCAGAGTTTGTAGTGTTTATCTAAAATGCTAAATTGGAGGAATGAGTAATTACCTCTGAAGGACTTAATAACTCTTTGTCCCTTCCTCCATATGCTTGTGTTTGAGTCGTGACAACAAGGAGGATACAATAGGTGTTTGTGGGAAGTATAAAGGCTGTGCACTCAGGGAACGTGTGGTTCCTCTGCAGATGTTATTGTTTCCTCTGGCATCTTAAACACTTGCTTATAAAGGATTACTCTCCCTTCAGGATGTGACCTCTCTGCCTTTTGTCTTGAGTCAGACAAACGGTGACAAAGGCATCCCAGCAGCATTAATTTACTCTAATTACTGCATTGGGGGTGTGCAGCTTCTTCAGCATATTCATGAAAACTCAGTGCATTCCATAAATTACTGGGGTGGGCTTATTTCCACGTGAACAATGAGGAAAACCTGAGATGCACGAGTCGTTCCTCCACACAGTGAACTGAATGAAATCACCCACATCCAGGTTTTTCTCTGAGTTAGGGATTCCTGCTTGTCCCCAGTGGGGATACTGATTTGGGAAGTGGGTCATGGGTGTGTGTCACATTTTGAAACCAGATGCAAAACTCAGTTTTGCACTTAACGTGCTTCTCAGCATCTTCTGTGTCCCAGTGCCAGACCCAGTCTGAGCCCAAATCTCTCTTCATTCTGCTTGATCCCTATTGCCTCAATTTCCCATCTCTTTCACACCTCCTGCAAAGAAAGGCTGAAGCACCAGGGTTTCCTCTACAGCTCCTTAGTAAAGCATTGAGACCCATTTCCAACAGATACAGGAGATAGTGGGGTGGGAAGGGAAGATAAATTTGAAGGCTTTCTGAATAGCATGTTTTTAATCAGTGCTTGATAGGTATGATTTATCTGGGCAGGGTTTGGGTCTCAGAAATTCATTCAAGCTTATAATTATCTTGGCAGATGTGAAAAGTCATATTCATAGCCCCTCAAACCCATTAGAGTCTCACACTTTTTTAAAAGGAAGAAAAAACCCTTCAGCTTTACATTCAGAGAGGCAGAATAGCTTTCTGTTCCTTGACAGCTCTTGAAGTCTGTCCCCTTTCCACTGCCTGTCTTTAGTTCCCAGGGGAGAAATGAATGCAGGTCCACTGGGACAGAAAGGGAAAGAAAAAAGTATTTCTGGGAGAGAAGAAAAATAATCAGCCTATTTTCATCCTTCTGCAGCAGGCATTTCTTTATGAGAACAAGCAAGTGGAAAGGCAAGGCAGGGTCTATGAAATGGAGTCAGGGTTATACCAGATTTTCTCGTGCCTCCAGTGGAATCATTTAGGGGAGCTGCTGTGGGTGCAATAGCACCCATGGCCTTCTCTGCTCTCCATTGGTTTCCTTGGATTTTGGCCTGCTCAGAGAACCATAGGGAAAGGTCTCACCTCTCCTGTTTCTTGTCACTTGCTCCTGGCTGAGCTGGATCTGCCAGGAAATACCAGCAAATGGAGCCACCCACACTGCTCTCCTGGGCCTTGCAATGGGGACAGAACAGCTTTTCCTCCTGCCTAAGAACAAGGTGAGAGGGATCAGGCTCAGGAGATCTTTAGTATTGGAAATTGTAGGTCTGAGCACCTCGTGATAGGCATGGATGTTTTGGGGACTCACATTTTGCCTGCAAGCTGGATGCAGTCCCATCTCCCTGCTCTCCTCCATCTCCCTTTGCTGCCTGCATCTCTTGGGAGTTTCTTGGAGTGGGAATTGTCTCTCATCCTGCAGAGGTGGTGTCTGCCTGACGGAAGGATTGGCCTCAGCTAAAAAACGTCAGGGAAACCTCCATGTGAGTAGGAATGTCTGCGAGAATGTGAGGAGAGGTGGTTAAGGGATAGAAAAGGAAAAGAAGAGAAGAAAAGCAACTTCCATTGTTCATTTATTCACCAATTTTCCAGAATACAGTAGCAGGGATGCTACTTATGGGATCTGGGGCTGTGCTGGTGGGCGTAGCACTACCCAGCTCAGGTACAAGGTAGTCACAGTCCTATGGATTTCAGGAGTCCTCCTCAGGAAACTGGTTTACAATGCACTTGCTTCTTAGGTCTGCTTTTTAAATCTGATTTTTGCATGGTGTATGTCATTAAAAAGCAGGGGAAGGAGGGGGGAAATAAATTTTTTTAAATATCATAATGTTTGTTTCAAGGCCCGCTAGATTTACCTGACTGGTTTGGCCACTGATCACTTGAGTCTGTCTGCCACAGCAGCCATCCCAGCCTGTTTCTGATGTCAAATTCCTCAGCTGTCAGGCGTGCATTTTAAAGGGTTATTTGTGGGGAGAGGCAATCCAGAGGGACCAGCCGGAGAGCTTGGCCTGTCAGTCAAGGTTTGCGGTGCTGCCGCACTGACAGGAATCATTTTGACAGAAAATTGCATATAAATGGAATCATTTCAAAATTAAGGAAGGGAGATGAAAGCAAAGGCTTCTGAAATGAGGTGCCACTGATGAGTGGTGATGCACAGGGCTCAGCCTCCAGAGCCCTGCAGATCCCTTCCCTGGCACTCGCTCTCTCTTCGGACAGGCCATCCTTGTGCCAAGGCCAACAGTGGGTTATTGCTAATTACTTCATATTGCTAATTGTATCAGAAGTGTTATGTTATTATCTGCCCCCAGGGAACTGGCCTCAAGGGAGCTGTTTTGGGATGTTCAACAGTGTCCAGGACAGGCGGGGGTCAATGAGGTGGGTGGTGGCAGCAAGGAGAGGATGCAGGGCTTGGTTTCTGCACCCCTTCCTCATGCCCAAGGATGGCATGGAGTGGGCTGTGCTGAAGCCAAAAGCAGGCACACTGCTTTGGTGTGTAACATTCAAACCACTTCTTTTCTTAGCTAGAGTTTTGAGTAGCAGTGGAAGGGGTAGGGAGATGTACCATTAAAATAAGATGCACTCAGTGAAGGCCCTGGGGCACTGGGACTGGCACAAGAGCACACAAGAGCTCTGAGTCACACCCACTGTGTTGCAGCACCTTGTGAAATGTCACTGTGGACTGTGCATGGTCAGTGAGCTAGAATGGGGCTTGGGGACACAGGAGCCTCCTCCTGGATCTGCCACTACGCTCCCATGCTGCCTTGGTCAAGTGACTTCACCCAGTTTCCCTCAGCCTCCTTCTGTTCTCTTTTTAGACCCTCATATCTTCATTATAGCTCACAACAGCCTGTACTGTGCCTCTATCAGATTTTTTAAAAATACAAATAGTAAAGAACAATGCTGATCAATCTGGTTTGATTCATGGTTTCCTGGAGGAGGCAGTTGCACATGTCTGGGATCTGGAAAGCCCCCACACCTGAGACAGAGGGTGCCCTCCTGTCCCAAGCTGGGCTGGTTGGGGCTGAAGCTGGGGAGGGGCTGCAGTAGCTGGCCATGGTGAGGCACTGATGGGTTTTGCTTGGCCACAGCCCAGAGATGGGAGGGGAAAGTTTTATGAAAAAGAAATGCTTTGCAGCCTGGCAGCTGTGTGTGCATCCTGCCTGGCCATGGAGGGCTCCTGAAACACACTGCTTTCCAAAGCAGTGCCTCCAGAGCCTCTTCTCCCAGGGGCCTGAGGAAAAGGCTCCTGGGATTCACCCTGCACCTGGTGCTGGAGCTGCACTGGGCATGGCAGGGCTCAGCAAGCCGCAGTCTGCACTGCTGGGGTGCTGAGGGTCCTCTTCCCTGTGCCCCTCTCCTGGCTGCCTGCAGGCACTGGGTGCCCCAGAAAAACAGGTGCCCGAGCACCCTAAAATTGGTTTTAATGCATTAATGCCTTTTAGGCAGATAATAAATCTTCTCCCAGGTCTGTGTCCACTCCAGGCACTGATGTGGCACGGCTTTTTGATGGACCATTACTGAAAGGCAAAGAAAAAGACCTGCAAGGAACATTTTCTTGGGCACTCATGTGCAGACCTCTGGTTTGCTTTCCAGGCTCTGGGGTCTGTGTGGCCCCTGGGACTCTACTGGTCCCTCTACTTGGCTGGCACTGGGGTCAGTGGGAACAAACAGGCTTGGGAGGAGCATGTGGATCTTCATCTCCTTCTGGCTCAAATTTGCCCTCGGTATTGAGAAAAAAAAGCCAGCAAAAAAAAGCAGCAAGAAGGGCTTTTATTGTGAAAAAGAGACTTTTCAAATGCCTGTTCCCCCCTTCCCAGCCTCTCCACTCCCCTCCTCGCAGGGAGGTGGGTCTGGGATGAGGCAGAGTTTGAAAACTCACAGCTGAAGTTTGAAGGGTGTCCTCCCGCCCAGGGGGAGTGGTGACAGGAGCCCCAGCAATGCGGGGCTGGCAGCAGGGACTGCGGGCGGCCCGGAGGGGCACCCCTGGGTGACAGCCCCCGCCGGGGATTGATGGCCTGGGGAGAGGAAGCAAGCTCATTAGTTGCTGGATAATTTTATTTTAATTTTTTAAAAAAAAATTTGTGTCTTGTGTGGGTTCCTGGCGTGGTATGGAAGTGGCACAGGGGGCCAGCACCCGGCTCAGGAGGTGACCGTGTGCCTGTCACCCAGAGAAGCACATGAGGAGGAGCGTGTCGGCTGCTGCTGCTGCTGCGAGACATGGTAGGATTTAGGGTTCTCCTTGCTGAGCTGATGGTGGGGAGCAGCGCTGGGTTTGCCCCTCGGGATGTGAGGTACAGCAGCGTACCCTGGATGTCTTTGGTGCCGGGCAGCTCGGAGGGTCAGAGCAGGGTGAGCCAAGCCAGGCGGGGAAGCGCTGCAGCACTGCTGTCCTTAAAAGCGTTGGGATGACCGGGCAGATTGCAGGAATGCTCCAGGGATGGGCAGAGCAGATTGTCAGGATGCCCATGAGGGCAGTGCCCGGGGCTGCTGTAGCTGAAGCCCTGCTGTCAGCCAGGGAGGTGATTTCAATCCCCCAGCCAAAACCCTCCTCTTTTAGGTGGCCAGGTGGCACCGCTTCAGGCAGCCAACAGCGTGGGGAGCAGCACCGAGAGCAGACAGAGATCACCATAAGCCACTCTGTGCCTTCTGCTTGGTCCTGACAAAGCACAGCACTTCCATCCAAAAGCCACAAAATCGGCCAGTTTGGCATGGGAAAACTTCACCTCCCCCCCAAGAAATGCTGTGCTTCCCCAGCATCAGAAGGTTTATCCACATCTATGGTGTGTTCCAAACCTTAGGGCGGTGTTTTCCATGTCATCTAGTTTTAGTGCTCAGTTTGGAACCTCCCTTGGCAGACCCATCTGAGCAAGCAGACATCAGCTGAGCTGAGATGGTCCCTCATGCCCCATTACCCCTTCCCCACCAGGGAGTTTGCACTGGGGGAAACTCATGCAAACTCATGCCAGGGAGTTTGCACTGGGGCAGGGACTCTGTCCCTGCTTCACCACCTCAGCCCTCGCCAAGCTTGTGTTGGGCAGGGATTGCAAACCTGTGATGGATGAGCTGAGGAGATGCCTGGTGCTGCTGCCAGAAACTGGTCATTTGTGTCACTGAGGCATTTTTATGTCCTCGAGAGTGTGCTGATGAGTCAGAGCATCTCTGGGGACAATGCCGCTGTGCCAGCCTTCGCTGGATTGTGTGTGTTTGTGTACAGGGAACACTAGTGCCATGCTTTACACTTTCCATTCTACAGTTTGCATAGGCTGCTTTGGGTTTCTTAAATAATGAACTTCAGCAGCAGGAAAAAATTACAAGGCTGGGGCTCATGTCACCCATTTTGGGTTTGGAAATAACTCCTCCCTGTGAAAGGAAAAAGCAAGACAACTCTCCCCATGCCAGCCTCTTGTCTGTGCTAACATTTTTCTGTACAAGCCTTCACTATGAAGCCTTTCAAAGCCTGTACAGCCTTTCACAAAGCAAGTACCTGGTGTGGTCTCCCATGTCAGAGTGGGGTATTCACTTTTTGCCAGGATTTCCATTTTGCCTTGGCAAAGGAAGGTCTGCTTCTGCAGTCCTTTCCCCTTTGTGAGCCCCTGCATTGACTGCTTTGATTTTACCTGTAATCTGGGTTTGCTCTGGGCACCTGTAGGTAGGGCAGTGGGGGTCATGAGGAATAAATCCAGGCTATGCCCCCAGCTGATCATCTCGTTGCTTCATTTGCAGCAAAAGCCCAAACAAAATGCTCGAGATGGTTTTTGATTCCTTTCAAAAGCGCCAGGAGGGTGCCCCCTTGCAGAAAGCCGGAGGGATGGCAGCTGTGAGTTCTGTGTTGGTATGGAGAGCACGCCTGCTCTTGCTGGATCTCACACCCGACCTGCCGCAGAGAGAGGGCTGGGGGATGACTGCACTACAGAAACATCTTCTTTCTTCTGCCTTCAAAGTCTGCCAGAGAGTAGTTTCCAGTTGCTGTCGTTTGCCTAGTATGAGGCACTCTAAATACAAGGGGCTGATTACGCCGTGTTAATCCTCTGGCATAGATTCCAAATGCCTCAATTACCCCTTCTTTTCCAATGCTCAGTAACTCCACTCCACCTTGCAGCTACTTGCCCTGAAGGAAAAGCCCCTTTTCAGTGAGCCTGGCTGCACCAATGGTCATCCCACGTTTGCTCGGCTCGCTCAGCCCATGGGTTTTGCTAGGGGAAGAAGCAGGCTGGGGGTGGCTGCCAGCAGGCTTTGCCCAGGATGGGGTCTGCAGGACACAGGAGCATGCAGAGCCAAGTGGCAAGCAGTTTTCTTCCCCCTTTTTTTTCCCTTTTAACTGTAATGGCTTAACAGGAGGAAAATAGCGTTGCCTTTCTGCAGCCGAGGCCAGGGCTGGTGTGAACAATTCTGTTTTGAAGAAAGCCCACAGGGCTGAAAGGCCCCGCTGTCCTCCTCCTTCTCCCTCCCCTTTGGAATCCCACGAATGCACTCTCCTGCTCTCCAGGAAGGGGAAAAACCTGACAGACAGCTCAGGGAAACCCAACTGTCTGACTTGGGCAACCTCCACTGAAACTCCAACGAGGGAATCCAGTGCTACTCCTTGCCAACACCCCAAAGAGGGTTTTGTGAGCCCCACTGGGCACCAAGCAGGCATTCCCTGGTATTGGTCCACCAGTTAGAAACGAAAACTGAAAATAAGTGGATCAAAATCCCTCCTCCCCAAAATGTAGAAAAAACATGACCCCTGATAAAATAAATAAAACTGAACCAAATGCCAAAATGAGTGAGAGTTTTAGCAGCATTCCAGGCAGTCACAAGCAGGATTGGCAAGCTCATCATGAGCAGGAGGAAATAAAATGTGATTTTATTGTAATGTATTCCTCCCCATATTAAATACAGCCCAGAACACATTGCAAGAGGGACGTGGCTTTCCAGCACCTCTGCTCTTTGCCTCTGTTATGTGCAGCAGCAGAACCCCTCTGGGAATACCAAACCAGAGCTGGTGAGCAGCCCAGAGGTGCAGCAAGAGAAGGTACTGGGGTGAGGGGAGTTGTGAGGAAGGGGGTCCATGGCTCCCAGATTCCAGCTCTTATGTCTCTGGGTTTGGACATGCCAAAGGAGTCAGCTCCTAAGTATGGTCTGTGGCTGGACCTGCAGAGGAGCAGGACTGTCAGCTCCAGAATAGGAACAAAGCACATTCTTCCTGCCCAGAAGAAACTCAGGGCTGGAGGCAGTTTGTGTGTGGGACTTGAAGGGAAGGAGTCCAGCCCACGGGCCAGGGGCTGCTGCCCTCCTCCAGAGCATCCCCGTGCAAGCCCTCAGAAACAAAGGCAAGACTGTTCAAAATGAGCGGGGCTTGAGGCACAGATGTTGCACAAAGGCAAGCCACATCTGTTTCACCGGGGAAGGGGCCCCCTGCTTGCTGCTTCAGCAGGCAGATGGGAAAGCTGCTCTGAAAACGTACAGAGCTGAGTGCAGCAGGCTGCCCGGGAAACTGGGACGAGGGGAGGGGGAAAAGGGAAACCTGGCAGGAGCCTGCTCCACGGCAGCGGTGGAGGGAGGGAGCAACAGCCTCCCTAAACTGCTGCTTTCCCTCCTTGACGTCCCTGCCAGGAATTTCTAGGTTGTGCTGCTCTCATGTAAGTGTGAGGGTTAGAGGAATGAGCAGAGGGAGATGAGGGAAGATCAGGAGGATCTGCCTTGTCCCCCAAGGATAGTAGGGCAGTCGTGCATTCAGGGCTGCCCAGGTCCTCACTGTCCTCTGTTAACATGGGATGCTGTTTCAGGTCTTCAGTGATCTGCATGATTTGGGTGCAGGTTGATATCTCTTTTAGTGGTGAAAAGTAAGGGAGATATTTGCACATGCAAATGACAACAGACCTGTGCATCTCAGTGATGTGTTCTGAAAGACTTCCATCAATCTCCTGGGAGATGTGTTTCCAAGAAGTAGAAAATCCAGCTAGGTGCAAGAGTCTGCAGTAAAAGCCATGACTCTGAACTTCAATAGGAGAAAGATAAGGCATCTAAAATATTTTAGTTTGCTTACTTTAACCAGAAGTGTGGCATCCTGGAGACTTTTTATTTCTGTGGTGCTTTGTGGTGACTTCTGGTTTGAAATCAGAGTGGTCCTGAGCTGCACTGGACATAGCACCAGGATGACAAACTCCCCATCCAACCCCCACAGAGCTGAGTATTAACTCTCTGCAAGCTGAGATTTACACAGTGGGAGCGAGGAGAATTATGAATCTTTCCTTTTGCTCAGTGAAAATCACATGATTTGGGAGTAAGTACAGTGTCACCACAGCTCAGGCAAGTCCCTGCTGGTACCCTGCTGAGCTTTAGTCCACACCAGGTGCAGGACAGGGTGTGTGTGTCCCCTGGGTCCCCCCAAGCAGCAGCCCTGACCTTGAGGGCATCAGCTGCACCCCATGGTGTGGTGTCCTCCAGCCAGGTGCTGGCCATGTTGCCTTCAAGGTGTGTCCTTTGTCTTCTGCTTCAGGTCTTCCTTCTTCAGAGATACTGAGTAGGACATTTGGGATGCTGGGAGTCCTGCCACTCTTGTAAACTTGCTCCTGGAGAGGGCAAGGAGTTTACAAGCCTATGTTTCTGCTGTACTTCTTTGGTGCATAGCTCAACTGGGAGCAAACTGTGCAATGGGAATAGCACTGTTAAACAGAGCAGTTTGCAGCTATGACTGAAGATTTTGTTCAAAATGGTTCTTTGGATGATGGATGTGTGAGAAGGGGCTGCGCTTAGCCTATGGCTGTGCAGAGAAAAACCTCCAGGGCAAGGAGCCTCCCAAAACCTGGAAATAGTCACTCTGGGTGGGAGGTTTAGAGCAGGAAACAGGACATTTCATCCTGGGAAGCAAAAAGCTTGAGGAGCTGATGCAGGGCCTGGAGCCAAGGACACGCTAGGTTATTACTAGAGAAAGGCTGTGGAGCTTGAAGGTTTCCAGGTTTTTGTAATTTGCTGCTCCAAGGCAGTAGTGATAACTGGGAAGAGCTGTGAAGGCAACATTATTTGAGAAGTTAAAGGTGGTGTGTTGGCACAATCCCTTTGAAGTCAGTGAGCAGACTGAACAGGGCCAACACTGTTTGATCCATTTATGCTGCTGCCAGAGTGCTGCCCTCTGCCAGTGCAAAGCACGCTTGTCTTGCACTTAGGCTATAAATGATCCCAGAAACTTTGCAGACTGTCCAAAATTTAGCAAAGTACAGCATGCTTTAAGGTTTCAT